TGCACCCGCCCGCGTCGCCGACTCGCGCTGAAGTGCCCGCTGGGAAGTGCCCAGCGGTCAGCGCCACCGCGGCCGCGTCGGTCGCGCCAAACTAGCTGGCCGCTGCGCGCGCGAGCACGCGTGGGCTAGGGCGGCCGCAGAAATGCACCGGCCAATGCCAAACACTCGTTGCAGTCGCCGCCGCATGGGCTTTGCAAACCAAGTTGCGGGTGGGTGGGTGGGGTGTTTGCGAGAGCGTGGAAGTTGTCAGCTCGTTTGTAAAAACCAGCTACACCGCGTGCGTTGTCCTTCCTCAAAGAATAGCACCCTGAATTATCCCCTCCTCGTCTTGTAATTTACGTGTGATTCTGCCCTGCCGCCCATCCTAAATATGGCGCCGCCCCCCACCCGCATCCGCTGTCAGGAAAAAAAGGCGAGGTGCGCGCGCGCGCGTCGTCGCGCGCGCGTGCCGAAATCCTTCAGAAACATTGGGTTTCGCGCTGGTTTCAAAGTCGGATGCCCCCAAAACATGTAAACACCCAGTGTCTCGCAACGGGAATTTTCAAGAACAACGTTGCGCCCGTGCTGTCGTAATTCAGAAGAAATCATTGGTTATTCAACGTGTTCATAAACTGCCACCAAGCGGGCCTCTCGCGCGCGCGCGTGGAAAACGTTCGGGCGCCCTGCGTGTGCACAGTCGCGGGGATCGTTTGCAACAAGCGGGGCGAAATACACGCGCGCGCGGAAAACTGCCAACAACCTTAGGTGCGTCATGAATTCAAGACAGTGTCCCGAAAACGTATGAAACTATCTGGCTGTGCAGCGCCAGTTTCCAAAACAAAAAATTGCGCTCGCGCTTTTGATTGTTTAAAGGGATGTTCAACATTTCCATACAAATTTTGCCAAGCGGGCCTCCCGCGCCGCATTTCGAAATCATTCGAATGCCATTGCGCGCGTGCTGGGGGGGGGGGGGGCACGATCCGCGTGGCATATTACCATGCGGGCCTCTCTCGCGCGTCGGCCGTGCTGCATGTCGAACTCCTTCCAAAACCTATATCGCTGGCGCCGTCACTGGCCTTTCCGGCGTCGTTGTCATCATCGTCAACAACATCGCTACTATCATCCTCGTGTGTGCTGGTGTCGACGTTGCCATGATGCCGCGCCCGCCCGAGTCGCCGACTCGCACTGACATGCGTGCTGGGATGCACCCAGCGGTCAGCGCCCCGCGGCCGCGTCGGTCGCGCCAGACTAGATGGCCGCTTCGCGCGCGAGCATGCGCGCTGGCCCGGCCGTGGCGGCTTTTTAACATTTTCATGCAATTCTGCCAACGGGCCTCTCGCGCCGCATGCCGAGATCATTCGAACGCCTTTGCGAGGTGGGGGGCGCGATCCGTGTCAAATAAAACCATGCGGTCACTCTCGCGCGTCGGCCGCGCGCGCATGTCGAACTCTTTCCAAAACCTTCATCACCGACGCTAGGATGCCGTCATCGTCGTCGGCGTGATCAGCATCGGCGCCGTCACTGGCCGTGCCGTCGTCGTTGTCAACATCGTCGCCAACATCGCTATTGTCATTGTGTCTACCGATGTCGACGTTGCCAGAATACCGCGCCCGATCAAGCCACCGACTCGCACTGACGTGCCCGCTGGGATGTGCCCAGCGGTCAGCGCCACCGCGGTCGCGTCGGTCGCGCCAAACTAGCTGGCCGCTGCGCGCGCGTGCATGCGCGGGCTGGCGCGGCCGCAGAGATGCACCAGCCAAGACCAAGCACTCATCGCAATCGCCTCCGCATGGGTTTAGCAAACCGAGTTGCAGGTGGGTGGGTGGGATGATTTCGTGAACAGTGAAGTTTGCAACGTCAAGTTTGGTGATTGGCACAGCATAGGTAGCACCACATATATTGCACTCCGTAGATTGCATACCGCATGAAGCAAATCGTAGATTGCACAACGTAGTTCGCACACGATGGGCTGCACCATGTATACTGCGCTACAGAAGTGGTTCAGCAAATAATGCACCACATAGATTGTTCCACATATATGTCGCCACATATTTTGCTAGAAGCACACTGTTTTGGGTCCACGCTGGCTAACGTATGTACGTAAGCACATGTAGTTGCACGCGTATGGGGGTGGGAATATCCCTATCCCTAAATTTCCATTGCCAGGACCCCCCCCGTAAACTGGACCCCCACCAGGGACGCCCCGGACGTCCTCTCGGACATCTCGGCGGCCACCTGGACGCCTTTAAGAAACGGTCCGCTGGCCCTTCTGGGCCTCCCAGGGCGCCTTGTTGGGCCTTGCGAGCAGACTCAAGGCGATCGGAAGGGTCATCGGAAAGGCGCACGACAGATCCAAAACAGCACAACAACGCTCCAAGAGGAACCTCGATGGCCTGAAGACGGCCCAAGAGGCCCACAAGGCGCCCCAAGAGGCCGTGAAGAGAGCCCCGAAGAAGCAAACATCGTCCCATTCCCGGAAGAAATTGTACATTTTTAGCGTATCCGATTTTCGGTTCTTCGCAGCGTCCAAGACGGCCCGATGGGCCCCCGATATCGCCCCAAGAGGCCCCCCCGAGGGTTTGAAGACGGCCCCACAGGGCCCCAAGACTGCCCCAGAGAGCCCCGAGACTGGCCACAAGAAACCCAAAATGTCCCCCAGAAGGCTCCCAAGAAAGACCCACGAAAGCCATGTGCGACCCCCAAGAAGGCGATTGGAGGCCCTCTAGAGGGCCTTCGCCGCTTGATCCTCCTTCTGCCCGCCGTGCCCCTGGCGCCCGCGTGGCGGCGCTGCTGGGCTAGCTTCGCAAGGCATTGTTTTGCTGCCGTGCGCTCTTTGCGCTCACGCCAGCCCGCCTGTCCTTCCCGTACCTCTATCACCCTCTCTCTCTCTCTTTTTCTCCCTTCCCCCCTTCTGCCTTCTGCGTCGACCTCGACCCTCGACGTTCGTGGCATCCGATGGCCATCCTCATTCGCCCGCTCCTTCCTCTGGACCTTCTCCCCGTTTCTCCCCCCCTCCTTCCCCCTTCCGCCTCTTCAGCCCCCCCTCACCCCTGCTCCTTTCCCGTTCCCCGTTCATGGAAAAGTGCCATCGCAACAGTTTGATGCTTCGTCGTTTGCCAGCGCTTTCGCGAGTGAAAAATCATCATTCCTTCCCCACTCCTGCGCTCGAGCGTGCAAACGCATCGGGCGAACGCGGTGTCATTAGGCACCAGGGATATCAGAAGAATGAACCGGCCGCCCGTCTAGGCCTGGAGGTCCCCCCTGCTGAAGAAAACGATGAGTTTTTGCTTTGCCGGGGAAGCGTCTGGAACACGACGCATGGCGCGAAGCGCCAGTGCAATCCTGTGTGTATGTATGTATATATATATATATATATGTATATGTGTAGCATGCATGTATGTATGAATGTGTATGCATGTATACACATATATTCAGGGAAAGTGCGAGGGAGAGACAGAAAGAGAGATGTGACGAGAGAAGGAGAGAGGTGGAGAGAAAGAAAGAGAGAGAGAGAGAGAAGAGCGGGGGAGAGAGCGAGAGAGAGAGAGAGAGAGGGAGAGAGAGAGAGAGGAAGAGAGAGAGGGAGGGAGAACGAGAGAGGTGGACAGGGATAGAAATCGAGAGAGACTGAAAGGGAGGGATAGAGAGAGAGAGAGAGCCACACACAGGCATATATATACAAATATTCAATACATATTTGATCGTATCTATATGTATGTCTCTATGTAAATATACACATTCACATGTGCATACACATATTTTATAATGCATTGTATGGTATGCTGTTATACTGTATTGTAGTATACGATGGCATATTCTATTACAATGCACTATATGATGTTATACCATATTCTACCCTTATACTATGGTCTACTATCTTATATGGTCCTATGTTATATTATGAATATTCCAGTGTAGTAAAATATGTAATGTATGTGTGTGCTTGGATATATGCGCGCAGTATCTCATACATATATATATATATATATAGACACGTGCAGTTATGTACACATTGATCGATCCGCAGGCCCCCTTGTAGGGGGACCGTGCTGTGCAAATCAGGTTTCCTGCTCCCTGGGGCCAGTTACAGTTCCCAGTCTCCAGTGTTATCGTATTAGTTTGTGCTTCCTGCTTCCGATGGTACAACGTTCCTGAACCGCGCAAGTGGGGAGCCGACAAAAAAGATTTTACCCTTCCCCGTCCAGGGTTCTCAGAACTCCCCGTGGCCCTGGGACGCAAAATAATATATGATATTGCGTCCCCAGGGCCATGTTCTTCGTACGGAGCCAGAATCCTTCGTACATTACGCCAGATTCGTGCCACCGCGGCCAGATTCCCGAACTTATACTTGGCTTCCGCTCCCGAACAAGATAACACTTGATACATTACATCAGGTTCGCACTCCCGATGCCAAGCAGGTTCGCGCACCCGAGGCCGAGATCCAGAGTAAATTGCACCAAGTTCGCGCTGCCGAGGCCAGAGCCCTTGGGGCATTGCGCCAAGTTCGCGCTCACGACTCCACAATCCCTTACACACTGCGTTTCGCTCGCGCTCCCGAGGCCAGGACCCTTTGTAAATTACGCCGGACTCGCGCCTTCCGAGGCCAGAATTCTTGTCAAGTTTACGCCAGATTCGTGCTCCCGGACACGATCCCCCGTAGATTACGCCAGAGTCGCGCTCCCGAGGCCACGATTTAAGTAATTTTCATTGGATTCGCGCCCTGAGAAGGAAGCAAAGCGTTCAACAACAACTCCAACATCTCAAGGTGCTTGCTGAGCGCCAATCACCTCGCATGATGTTCCCATGAATTTTCAAAGCAGCGCCGCCACGTCCCAGCACACTTCTGACATCCCACATGATGATAGAGAGGGGGCCGGCGGCAGAGGGCGGAGCCCTTTCACATAGAGAAAGAGAGAAAGAGCGATAGAGAGAGAGAGAGAGACAGAGAGAGAGGAGACAGATCCGGCCAGGAAGGAAAGACGATTAATAATAATGACAGGTGAAGAAGACGATCGATAATGCTGGGAACTTCGGCTCTGCTCCGCTGGTGCTCGCGATACGCACTCCCTTTTGTCGCGCGCACTGCGCCGCGGCGAGCGGCCAGGAACTACGTCGTGCAAGCACGAATTCAGTCATTCGGCATCGTGGAATCGGCTACAAGGAAGAGCGACCCTAGGCAGGAGTGACATGTGGTGCGCGGCTTCAGAGGCCGCGGGGGACCAAGACCCAAGCGCGCAAGCCAGTTCACAGGAGACCCCTGTGCGCCTGCATTACAAGTCACTCTGGCGAAGGGTCAGTCTTACCGGCCTGGGCAGCGTGTGAAAACGAAGACAAGGCGAGGATAAATCCGGATGGAGATCAATCGAGAAACTCTGAGATCCGGCGGTTCTGGAGGATGTATCGGGCGCCGCGGCCGTTTCAGAGCGCTCCGGAACGCTCTGAAAGCGTTCCGGAACGCTCTGGAACGAATTCGTCCTCGTCCCAGCCCCGTCCGACGTGTCCCCGCGCAGGGTGTGCCCCTCGAGGCCGCGGCCGGCCGAGCCCAGGCCTCCGACTTTTGATGGCCGCTGTTCCTCAGCCCTCGGCCCCTCCCCCGCTGTGGAGGCCGCGGCTCGGGCGCGGACCCTCGGCGCCGAGGACGGCGCGCAGACAGGCCTCCACCCTGCTTTCCGCTGCCCTCGCCACCGTCAGTGATGGTGATGATGGTGATGATGGTGATCATGGTGGTGGTGATGGTGATGATGATGGTGATGGTGGTGATGATGATGGTGATGATGGTGATGATGGTGATGATGGTGGTGGTGATGATGGTGATGGTGGTGGTGATGGTGATGATGGTGATGGTGATGGTGATGATGGTAATAATTATGATGCTGATGCTGATTGATACTGATGATGGTGGTGGCGATGATGATGGTGGTGGTGATGATGGTGGCGGTGGCAATGATGGTGGCGGTTGCGATGGTGATGATCATGATGATGGTGGCGATCATTATGGCAATGATAATGATGATGATGATCATGATGATGCTGATGACAATGATGATGGTGACGATGATGCTGCTGATGATGACGATGATGATGATGACAATCATTATGGCGATGATGATGAGGATGATGCTGATGACGATGACGATGATGCTGATGATGATGATTATGCTGCTGCTGATGATGACGACCATGATGATGATGATGATGCTGATGCTGATGTTGATGCTGATGATGTTGATGACGCTGATGCTGATGATGCTGATGATGCTGATGGTTGTGCTGCTTCGGCTGTTCATGATGATGATGCTGCTGCTGATGATGACGACCATGATGATGCTGATGCTGATGTTGATGCTGATGATGCTGATGACGCTGATGCTGATGATGCTGATGATGCTGATGGTTGTGCTGCTTCTGCTGTTCGTGATGATGATGATGATGCTGATGCTGATGCTGATGATGATGATGGTGATGATGATGTCAGGCTCCATAGGGGGCTAGGTGCCTTGGATCAGCAGCTCGCGAATGGCCCTCTTGCGCTTGGCTACTGCGCGGGCCCTCGCCCGCATCAAGGCCTCCACCCTAACAGGGCCTGCCTGAGATGACTGTGAACGGATGGCGTTATAAGTTGTGAGTAAAAGATCGTGCATTAGAATGGTACCATGCAAGGCTCGGCTGGACGGCATAAGAGGTCTCAACAGCAATCGATCGAGAGCATTCCGCTCGAGAAAATCTGGCGGCAGCGACGGGATGATACTAGGAAGCAGTGGCAGCAGCACAGGACATTGAAAGTAATGCGTTATGTGGTCGGAGTCTGCGGCACCGCAGCCCATGACGCAACAACGGTTCCCTGAACGAAATCTGGCCGACGTGGGCCACGCGTTACAAGCGGATTTGAGGAGAGAGGAGGCAACGAAGGGGGCTTGTTCGGTAGCGGCGAGGAAAATGGCTCGAAAAATAAAATTGGCGTGGCTTACGGGGGCCTCACTCCAGAACTTCCGAATCCTTGGGAAGAGCAGGACTGGCATCGAGGGACGTCCCTGATTTTTGGCAACGGCAATGGTGACTTTTCGCTGTATGTCGTGCGTATACTCGTTGATCGTCGGGCAAATCGTCGTGAGCTCGTTCCAGTTCTTAATCAGGGAGCCGCACATAGACTCAGCAAGCCAAGATTTATGCCGAACAACAGCCAGCCGTTCGACATCTTCGTGCTCAAGAAAATGCAGACGCTCCTTCACTCTCGCGAAGGCTGAACTCTGGATGGCGATCCGAAACATCGCGGCCTTGTTCGTGGCCTGGAGGTTGCGGGGCTCGACAGGGAACCCAAAGTCCAGGGAGTTCTTGAGGGCCAGGGAAGGGATGGCGTACCTCGGACCCATGGTCAGCCTTTGAAGAGCGTTCGTTTCGGCTCGGATCACTTCGGGCCTAACCGGTAGTACCTGCATCAGGTACGTCAAGATCGAGAAAGCAAGCGAGTTGTAGGCGTAGATGTTCTGAACTAAACCGAGCTTCAGCGTCTTAATATGCCCGATCCTGGAAAGAAATTTGACCAGAACAGGATGCCACGAAGCAGCAGGCCCAGTCGGGCCGATCATTACCCCAAGATATTTCCCATGGGTGCCGACCTGGAAGGGCTTAATGTTGATCCCCCACTTTTTGAACTCTTTATTCAGCTCGGTTCTGTCGAACTCCACGGCAAGGACAATCACGCACTTCTTCAAGTTCGGGAGAAGACCTGTCACGATCGAGCTCCTGAGAAAGTGCTTCATCGTCGCGGGCAAGGACTGCCTCAAGTCAGCCATCGCAGCGCCAACGTCGTCAGCGAAAGCGAACGGGGAGGTAGGTGTCGGTGAACGTGTTAAAATCCTTTCCAGCTTCCGTAACACGGGGTCGAAGGCCAGGGCGAAGAGGGCGCCCGAAAGAGGGCGCCCCTGTTTTATGCCGCGGGTGATACGGTACCCAGGGAACCTTTTTCCAGCAAAAATGATGAAGGAGTAGAGGTCGGAATACAGCTGGTCAACTGCATGAAGGATAAAATCGGGGATGCCCATGCGTTGCAGCACGTGCTGAATCCACCTGTGGGACAGCGGCGGAAACGCCGCTTTCAGGTCCAGCAAGAACAGGCCGGCGAAAGGGCAGTCGTTATAACAAGCGTATTCTAGAAACTTGCCTTCAATATCGAGGATATTGTCGATCAGGTATCTGCCTTTGACGAAGCCTTTTTGCATCGGGTCGGTTGAAAATACTGCCTGCTGTCCCATGGGAACACAGATCGCACTAGCCAAGAGCTTGTTGTCGGTGTTGCTAAGTGTGATCGGCCGAACTTGGCTAGATGGACGGACTATAGACTCATGATCGTTTGGAAGAACATCTTTGGGAAGAAACACCGTTTGCCCGTGATTAAACCCCGAAGGCAAGCTGGCTCCTGCGCATAATGCTTGGTATGCTTCAAATATCACTCGGTGAGCGCGCTCTCCTGCGTGTCTCCAACACGAATATGGAATTCCATCAGGACCACAAGCTGATTCGCGGCGACTAACGACGATCCCTTGGAAGGTCCCGAAGTCGATTTCCCACTCAATACCAGGAGCAGCCCGAGGAATATCTTCAGAAAGCTCGCGCAGGATTTCCAGAAATTTCGGGTGACGCCCAGGTCCCTGAGAATGTACCTCGCCCCAATGTGTCGCCAGCGCTTGGGCACTTTCCTCCAGAGAGCCAAGAGGGGAGCCGTCAGGCGCAGAAATGCCGCTCAAGTTGAGACGCCGCCGCTTCGGCGACCAAGATTTCAGACGCTGGTGAAGTCGAGTTCGCTGCTGCTCGACTTCCTGTAAACCGTGCTCAGCGCTAGGCAGCTGCGCGAGATCCTCCAGGATGACCGCGCTGCTGAGCTCATTCAAATGACCATGGAACGCGTTATAGTCGTAATAACTGCAGCTGTCAGAATCAATAAACCTAGCCAACTCGGGATAAGCTTTCATACACTTTTTGACCCAGGAAGAGGATTGGCTCCAGGACGAACCAGGCGAGTGAGCCCGAAGGGCCCGCATGGCTTTTAAACACACAGCGATCTTTTGCTTGTCGGTCAGGACCCCGCCCTTGAACATCCGATGTGTCAGCTCCTCCCTAGCGGCGAAAAAGATGTCCTTCAGCAGGCGCAGCTGCTGAAAGGGGGAGCCGTCGAGGCCTACCTCTTCGATGAGGGATTCAATCAACTGACCGAACTCGGGATGCTCAGAGACCCACCTAGGGATGCTCTGGCTCTTCGAGGACCCAGGAGACAGCAGCAGAAACACAGGAATGTGATCGGACACCTCATCGATGTTGTGTGCGAGACCAATAGTTCCAGATTTGGGGTGCCAGTCTAATATTTCACCGGTGGGGGCATTCGTGTAGATCCTGTCGAGCCGAGCGACCGAGGTGACCACGTTGCGCACTTGAGTCCTGTGGGTGCAGTCCGTCTGATGATGATGATGATGATGATGATGATGATGATGATGATGATGATGATGATGATGGTGGTGATGATGGTGATGATGGTGCTACGTCTGCTGCTGCTGCTGCTGATGATGGCGCTGCCCTCGACACCGTTGGGGGCCTTGTCGTCCGGAGGCCACCGCCGCCGCGGGCCGCCAGCCGGGGCGACCGATCCGCCGCGGGGCGCTGCTGGGGGGCGCTGCCCACGGAGAGGCCACTGGCCCCGCGGGCGGCCCCGCGCAGGCAGGCCGTGGCCACAGCGGACGCCGCCGCCGCCGCCGCCGCCGGGAAGGCCGCCGCGTAGTTTTCGTCGTCGTCGTCGTCGCCGTCGTCGTTTTCGTCGTCAAGGACGTCGTGGCCCGATCGGAGGCTGCCCGCGGAGGGGGCCGCGGCAGCGGCGCGCCTGGGCCTGCAGGCGGCCCTCAGGCCTCGCATGCGCGCGGCGCGCGGCAGGCCGAGGCGGGGCGCCTGCCGCGGGCAGACGTTGGGCCGCGGGAGGGTCCGTCGTCGGCGTCGGAGTCGTGGTCGTCGTCCGTCGTCGTCTTCAACGACGTCGTCGTAGTCGTCGTCGTTTGATTAGTTCTCGTCGTCGTCATTTTCGTAGAATTCGTCGTCGTCGCCGTCGTCGTCGTCGTCGTGGTCGTCGGCGTCGTGTTCAACGACGTCGTCGCTGTCTTCACCGTCTTCGTGGTCGTCGTCGTCGCTTCGTCGTCGTCGTCGTCGTCGCGGTAGCCGTCGTCGTCGTCGCCGTCGTTGTCTTCAGCGGCGCCGTCGTCGCCATCGTCGTCGTCGTTTTCGTCGTGGTCGTCGTCGTCGCCGTATGTCGCCGTCGTCGTCGTTGTCGTCGTCTTCATCGTCGTCGTCGTCTTCGTCGTCTTCGTTATAGTCGTCGTCGTCGTTTTCGTTGTTGTCGCTGTCGTCGTCTTCGTCGTCGTCTTCAACGTCGTCGTCGTCGTCGTCGTCGTTTCAATAGTTTTCGTCGTCGTCGTCGCCGTAGCCGTCGCCATCGCCGCCGTCGCCGCCGTCGTCGTCGTCGTCGTCGTCGTTGTCGTCGTCGTCGTTTTCAACGACGTCGTCGTACTCGTTTTCGTAGTTTTCGTCGTCGTCGTCTTCAACGACGTGGTTGTCGTCGTCGTCGCCGTCGCCGTCGTCGTCGTCATCGTCGTCGTCATCGTCACTTTCGTAGTTTTCGTTATCGTCGTCATCGTTTTCCTAGTTGTCGTCGTCGTCGTCGTCTTCAACGTCGTCGTCATAGTTTGTAGTTTTCGTTACCGTTGTCATCACTTTCGTAGTCTTCGTCGACATGTTCGTCGTGTTCGTCGTCGTCAATCATTGCGTAGTTTTCGTCATCGCTGTCCGTCGTTTCTGTAGTTTTTGTCGTCGTTGGTATCGTCGTCGTCGTCGTCGTCGTCGTTTGCGTTGTTGTTGTCGTCGTCCTCGTCCCCGTCGTCGTTTTCGTTTTTTTCGTCGTCGTCGTTGCCGTCGTCGTCGTCGTCTTTTTCGTCTTTTTCGTCGTCGCCTTCGTAGATACCGTAGTTTTCGTCGTCGTCGTTGCTTTCGTTGTTCGTCGTCGTCGTCGTCGTCGTCGTCGTCGTCGTCGTGGTCGTCCTCAGTGACGTCGTCGTACTCGTTTTCGTAGTTTTCGTCGTCGTCGCCGTCGTCTTCAGTGACGTCGTCGTCGTCGTCGTCGTCGTCGTCGTCGTCGTCGGCATATTTAACGACGTCGTCGCCGTCAAAATCGTCAGCGTTGATGTGGCGGGCGTCAACGTCGACAACGGGGGAGAGAAGAGGAGGGGAAGGGGGACAAGATAGGGGGGAGGAAAACGTGGAGGGAGGAAAAATTGGAAGGAGGAGTGTGGATGACGATGGGGGGAGTGAAGGGAACAGGGGGGGCCCGCCCGTTCAGATCCACCCGCCGCGCTCGCCCATTATCCAGGCCCGCCCGCCCTCTCGCCTTTGGGAGTCCACCCGCCCCGCCCGCCTAGAAGCCGCCCGCCCACGAAAGGCCCGCGCGCCCGCTCTTCGGGATTCGCCACCCCCGCCCGCCCGATCAGAGGCGCGCCCGCCCGCCCGCCCACCGGGGCCCCCCGCGCCGACGAGCCCGCCCACTGAGACGCCTGCCCGACCGCCTTGGAGACCTCTCGCCCCGCCCGCCTGGAGGCCGAAAACATACAAAAACCTCCCGTTGTGTCTTTTTCGTTGTGCGTGTGTGTGTGTGTGTGTGTGTGTGTGTGTGTGTGTGTGTGTGAGCGAGACCGGTAGCGGCCAGCCAAGCCCTCGGCTCCCTCTGCCTCGCGTGCCCGGCCTGCCGTCTCCATGGCCGTCAGCTCGCCTGCCCGCCCTCTGGTTTCCCTCCCTCCCGGGTCGGCGGCTTCTCGCCTGCCGGCCCCTGTTGCCGCATCGCTGCACCTGTTCGGTGCTCCCCCCCGCGCGCTCTCGGCTGCTGCCAGAAGCTGCGCTCGTGCCGTCGCTGCCAGTCCCGCCGTGCGACCCTCGGCGGCTTCGCCGCCCGCGCCCTGCCCCCTCCCTGGTGGTGGCCGCTGCGCTTGCCATGGGCGGGCTGGTTTTGCCGCTCGCCGTTGGCTCCCGCGCGCCCTCTGGCCGCCCCTGGTCGCCATTCCCCGTCTGGGTGGGTGCCCTGCCTCGCCGCTGCATCCCCTGCCTCGGCAGGTCGGATCGCCAGCCTTCTGCAGGTTTTGTCCAAGCGCCGCCTGTGGCTCCCACCTTGGCTCGCTGCCACGCCCTCCGCAGGGCTGGCTTTTTCCGTCTTCTTCCCCATCTCCTAAGATGTGGTTATTGTTTTTACTCGGACGCCGCCGACTCCAGAGAGAACACACCTACTAATACACAGACTTACTCATACTCAAACCTACTCATACTCATACCTTATCATGGTCTGACTTACTCAACACACAACGTGCAGGCCTACTCATGCTGGGACTCCTTCATACCCAGACTTACTCATACCCAGACTCGTTCCCAGACCTGCACGCACACAGACTTACTCATACTCAGACCTACACATACTCAGACCTTCTCATAGTCTGAGATACTCAACGCACGGACTGAGACCTACTCATACTCAGACCTAGTCATACTCAGACTCGCAAGGGGAGCCGCCAGGGGTGTTTTCACGGGCCCGTTCGCGGCCAGTTTGTGGGGATGTCTCAAGCGGTTTGCTCGTTTTCATGCCCAACATCCTTTGCTTTTAGAGCAGATTGTGAGGATGTCTCAGGCGGGGCGCTGGTTTCAGCACCCCTAAGGGGAGCCGCCAGGGGTGTTTTCACGGGCCCGTTCGCGGCCAGTTTGTGGGTATGTCTCAGGCGGTTTGCTTGTTGTCATGCCCAACATCCTTGGCTTTCAGATCAGATTTTGAGGATGCCCCAGGCGGGGCGCTGGTTTCAGCACCCCGAAGGGGAGCCGCCAAGGGTGTTTTCACGGACCCGTTCGCGGCCAGTTTGTGGGGATGTCTGAAGCGGTTTGCTCGTTTTCATGCCCAACATTCTTGGCTTTCAGATCAGATTTTGAGGATGCCCCAGGCGGGGCGCTGGTTTCAGCACCCCTAAGGGGAGCCGCCAAGGGTTTTTTTCACAGGCTCGTTCGCGGCCAGTTTGTGAGGATGTCTCAGGCGGTTTGCTCGTTTTCATGCCCCAACATATGGGGAGCTCCACGCAGTGAGTCATTCTTCTAATTATTTTTGGCACAGCGCCACAAGTTATGGATGGGTCTTTCCTTCCTGCAAAGGAAACGTGAGGGGGGGCTGGCCTAATAGGGGGGGGAAGCATCGACCCGGGATCGGCGATACGTCGCCCGCCGATAGATCGGCGATGCGCCTCCACTAGTGAAACCACGCTCTCCTCGGCGGGAAGGCTATCAGGCTCCTCTCGGCGATGAGTGAACGATTGGGGGTCGATGCGCCGCCTATCCCCCCTTAGCGCTGCCTCTGAGGAGTCAAACATGGATCCCTGGACCTCTCCTGGGGTGCGTTCTGACCTGACTGTCGAGGCGGATCCAGCCGTGGCCACACAGGCGCCCCAGGACGATGAAACATCTCCAGCGAGCGAGCCTCGATCCTCGAACCCCTGGGCCCATCTCCCCCTAACGTTGCCTCTGACAGGAGGTCTGGATCCTTCCTTCCCCAGGGTGGGCGCCGTAGCCGCCGCGCGGGCGCCCTGCACCAGACTGCCGCCTCCCGCGGCGGCTCGTGGGCTGCCGCCTCGGCGGCCTCGCGCGCGGCACGCGGGGCGGGCATGTAACCACGAGTGGGGCCCTCTCGAAGGCCATCTGCAGGCAAGGGGAAGGGTTCTGCTTCCGATGTTTGCTGCGCGCCTTTGAGCGGAGCAACGGCATAGTTTGTGACTTCCGCGTCGCCGACCCTCCCATGTGTTTTCGTACTTGTTACCGTGACAACATCCGTCTGCCTCGGTGCTGTCCCCGTGAGCCCGCGTGTGTATCGTTCGCATCATGAGCCAGGTGACAAGAGATCGCGAAACAGATCCGCATACGTCTGCGTATATGGCGGAAGGCCAGGCGGATCTCGAGAGCAGAAGCCTTCCCCTGTCTGCGAGGGCCTACAAGGCGCACGCCCCAAGGGGCGCAACCCCGCAGCTGCGCAAAATCCAGCAAGCACTTCCTGAGAGCTGTCTGGGCGCTGACCACACGCCTCGGAAGCGTTACCGAGGCGCTTCCTAGAGAGCTGCGCGCAACTTCAGCGGCGCTTGCGGAGCTTCCTAGGGCTGCTGCACAGCCGCTGTGCACGACCTAGAAGATGATGCGACGGAGCTGGCTCGGAGCGCACGAGTTCAGAAAGCGCTGCGCAGGAGCTGCGCCAAAAGCTGTTCAAGCAGAGCTGCGGGAATGCCTGCCCAGTGGAGGCTGGCCTAACCCAGCTTGCCTGCTTCTTCTGGACCTGAGCCGGCCCGGAGAAGGAAGGAATACAACAATCATAGGGGTGCCTTGTCCTGGCTGGCCGGCGCGGCCCCAGAGAAATCTGAGAGAGCTTCCCTCGGAAGCCTCCTGGAGGCGGCTTTGAAGTTGTCTTGGGGCCTCTCGGGGACCTCCTCGGGGCCTCTTCTTGGGGCCCGATCGGGGCCTCCTGGGGGGCCTCCCTTTCGGGGCCTGCTGGCTCGCTCGCAGGACGAGCCCCCTGCCGGGAGGCTGCGCGCGCGCACCCGTGCGACCCAAAAGCTGGGCCGCCGCGCGGCCCTCGCCCGAGGGCGCCCCCCGCCCCCCCGACCTCCAGGCGCCTCCCTCCGAGGGCGGCGAGGGTGCGCCTCGACCGAGGGCCCCCGCCGCCTGGGGTGCAGGGAGAGCCCATCATCGGATCGATTAATCGGATCGGCGATCGGCATGAATCGGATCGGCGGACATCGGCAGGCCAGTATGCCTCCAACGAGAAATCGGAGCCCAAATCGGAATCCCAAGTCGAATCGAATCGGAATCGGAATCGGACACCATCGAAGTCGAATCGAATCGAAGCCGAGGAATCGAAACGAGCCCTGGGAGTGCGCTCGAAGGGCGCACCCCTGAGGGGGGGCGTCGCGGCGCGCACCTCGCGAGGTCCTCGGAACGCGGCCCGCCCCGCCGCCCGCCGCCCTCAGTGCCTGCAAGCACCCCCTTTCCTCACCCGCCTGGCCTCCGAGCCCCCCGCAGCCGCCGAGCGGGCCAAGCTCCTTCCTCCAGCACGCGCTACTGTGGGCTGCAGATCTCCAGGGAATAATGTACGGACGGACACTGATGCCGCTGCTTTTCTTTTTCGCCCCTTTCTGCGCCGCCTGGGAGGCCCTTGTCGCCACCGCTGGATTCGCCTCGACGTTCTGGTCAGAACGCACCCTGGGAGAGATCCGACGAGTACCGGTGTTGGTATTTCTTGGCTTCCCCAAGATCCGTGGATCTGGCACGGGGGCGCGGGTGAAGCCAGTGCCGCCTGATCTGGCGCTGGTGCGCGCCGATTCTGGCATGGAGGCGGAGCCCGTCACTGACCCATGCGCCCCAATCCATGCTTCTCGGCCGCCTGAGCTCGCGCATCAAGCCCCGCGATGCGCGACGCGCGGCTATCTTCGCGCCTTGGCGCACCCGCTCGGCCGCCTTGGAGAAAAGCGGCTGCTTCGGCCCAGGCCGCGCCGCGCAAAGCGCGATTCCCTTCGCGCCCCTGGGGGTGACCCCGATGTTTTGGCGTTGCCTCGAGCTCCTGCCGCGCCCCCGGAGCGGAGAGCAGAGACGCACCCCCCACCCCCGGGACCTCTCTGGCGGTGCGCGCGGATCGTCCAGCCCTGGCGGTCAGAGGTCTCCCAAGAGCGTCCGAACGGGGGGAAGGAACGAGCCGAGGTGGGCCCCGCCGTGGCGGTCAGCGGCCTCCCCGAAGCGCCAGGAGGGGGAGAGGCACGAACCCGTTCGGCCCGCTCGGCGGCCGAGCGGGCTCAGACGCCGAGGGGGCTCAGAACCCAGACGTCCGGCGCCTCGCACTTCTTGAGACACGGGCCCCCGACCTCGCCACCACCTCCCCAGGACCAGCTTTTCATCCCGCGTCGTTTTGTTGACGGTCCCGAGGCACGGCGAGGGCCCCCACATGCCGAACACTACCAAAAACCTTCGGTCTCGGTTGTTTCGAATCGCCGGATGCCTGGAAAGGGAGCCCCCAGGGGCGCGGCCGCCCACGTCGGGACCGGTGGCCCCGAAGCCACCAGGGGGGCTGGGCCTCGTCGCCGCTGTCCTTGAGGCCGCCGCCCTGTCGCCGTCCCAGGCCTCCGACGTCGTGGTTCTGTTCGGAAGGTGGACTCCCAGAGGCTGAGACCCCTTCCCCAAGATTGTTTTCTCGTCTGGAATCGTTTTCACCTACTGGCGTTTCGCTGAAGGCTTCTAGTCGTGATGGGAGAAGCATGAAAGAATCCTGAGAAGAGTCCGAACCGAACTGGTAACCGTGAACCGGCGGCTCCTGCAACCGAACCGCCCGAACCGGAGCCCGAACCGGACCGGCTGAAACCGGACCGGGCGGTTCGAACCGAACCGGCCGGTCGAAACCGGCCCGAACGGCAAGCCCGAACCGGGTGGAACCGAACCGGGCCCCGGGACTCCCCACCGGCCCAAGAAAGCCCCCAGAAGAGCCCCGGTGCCGGCACCCCCCCCCGGTGCCGGCACCCCCCCCCGGTGCCGGCACCCCCCCCCCCCGGCACCCCCCCCCCCCCGGTGCCGGCACCCCCCTCGGGGGTGCAGCAGGGCGCGGGGGGGGGCAGCCCGACGCGGATTGCGGACGCACCCCCTGCGCACCCACTCAGACGTCCAGACAGTGCCACGCCTGCCGTGCCCTGCTAGTCTGCAGCGGATAGAGACCGGATAGCGCCCCCACCCCCTGCGCACCCCCTGTGGTGTCGAGAAAGTGCCACGCCTGCTGTGCCTGGACGAGAAGCGCGCATAGCGCCCCCACCCCCTGCGCACCCCCTATGGTGCCACGCGCGCGTGTGTGATGTGGTGTGTGTGTGTCTGTGTGTGTGTGTGTGTGTGTGGTATGCGTGGTGCGCGTGGTGTGTGTGTGTGTGTGTGTGTGTGTGTGTGTGTGTGTGTGTGTGCGCGTGCGTTGTCTGATGTGTGTCGTGTGGTGTATGTGTGTGGTATGTGTGTGGTGTGTGTGTGTGTGTGTGTGTGTGTGTGTGGTGTTGTGTGGTGTGTGTTGTCTGATGTGTGCTGCGTGTGTGTGCGTGTGTGTGTGCGTGTGAGTGAGTGTGGTCGGTCCCAGAGAAAACCATAAACCCACTTAACATGTGGGGAAAACCAGAAACTCCTGGAAGACCCCGGGAAACTCCATGCGGACCCCTAGAAACCCCGGGAAACTCCAGAGAAAAAACAGAAACTTCATGCTCGGGTTCTGGACGATCCCACGCCAAATGACAAGAGGAGGCGGGGACCAGACTTCAACCTTGAACGCCCGGGGGCGCCCGCCTTCAGCCTTGAACGCCCAGAAAGGGGGGAGGGGAGGCGAGCTGGGCAGACCGCGGGTGGGCGGGCCCCTTTGGCGGCCCCCCCGCGCGAGGGCAGGGTGCCGCCTCCGGGGCACCCGGGTCCGTGACGGACCACCCCACCAGCAGTCGGCCGCCAGCCCCCCCACCGGCCCAAGAGAGCCCCCGGAGGAGCCCAGAAGACCCCCCCCCTCGATGCCGGCCCCCCCCCCCCCCGGTGCCGGCACCCCCCCTCCCCGGTGCGACGCCCTCCCCCCCCGGCGGGCACCCCCCCCTGCCACCCCCCCCCCGGGCCGGCCCCCCCCCTCCCGGCCGGCACCCCCCCCCCCCGGGCCCCCCCCCCCCCCCCCCCCGGTGCCGGCACCCCCCCCCCCCCCCCCCCCCCCGGCACCCCCCCCCCGGTGCCGGCCCCCCCCTGCCGGCACCCCCCCCCCGGTGCCGGCCCCCCCCCCACCCGGTGCCCCCCCCCCCCCGCGGTGCCAGCGCCCCCCTCGGGGGTGCAGCAGGGCGCGGGGGGGGGGAGGCGAGGACCCCCTCCTCCCTCCTCCTCCTCCCTCCTCCTCCTCCTCCTTCTCCCTCCTCCTCCAGGCGGCAAAGCAGCTCCAGGCGGCCGAACCCCGGGCCCCCGGAGGCCCGCGTTTTCCGGCCCCGGGGCCGCGGAGACGAGGGGAAGAGCGGCATGAGGGAAGGGGCCGAGAGGTCCGGGGGCGCCCGACGACGACGACGACGGCGGCGACGACGACGACGACGGCGGCGACGACGACGACGACGACGACGACGACGACGACGACGACGACGACGACGACGACGACGGCGACGACGACTGCAGCGAGGCACCTCGCCGGGCGCGGAGCCGATGGGCGCGCGAGCCTCCTCGCTCCGCGCTCCTGGCACCTCGCTCCTCGCCCACCTCCTAAACCTCCTCCTCCTCCTCCTCCTCCTCCTCCTCCTCACTCCTCCTCCTCCTTCTCCTCCTCCGGCCCAAAACCGGCCCCCCCAAAACCGGACCGTCCCGCGACCGCCGAACCGAACCGGCATAACCGACCCGGACTAGCAAAACCGGACCGACCAAAACCGGACCGGCGCCGAAATCGAACCGCTGCAACCGAACCGGTCCGCCGCCGAACCGGCCCGAACCGGACACTTCCTGGCGCGGCGGGGAACCCTTGACCGCCCAGTCCGGCAGCCGTTTCGCCTGAGACTTACATAAGATTTAAAACTTATTCAGGAGTCGTACCATCGCCTCATTGCAAACTAAATTGTTTGTCTGGGTGGCTACGATTCCTGGCAAAAACACAGAAAGTCTCACCCCTGCCCCGCCTGTCAGTGTTCCTAAGAGTCCGAAGGAGTACGTAAGAATGCACGTTTTCACTATCCGACCTCCTACTTTTTCCTCGAACCCCCTCTTCACCTTTGCTACTAGTAAGGTGCCTTGCAGGCTGGATTTGAAGGCCCTGGGTCTTGGCAAAGCCCCCCCAGATGCCGAAAACGTCTCAAACCCTTCCGTCGTGATTTCTCCTCAGCGCGAATATATAAACCTCACAAATGGGGTCCGAGCATATGGGGTCGGAAGATCGCGCCGCATCGCCGATACATCGGCGACGCTGGCGTAGAGAAAGTCGGGCTCCACGTCGAGTTCCCCGATGCATCGGGGATGAATCGCGAAGCACCTGTCCCATCTACTTCGGCCGTTTTACTTCGACGACACACGTACGTACATACATACATACATACATACATACATACAGACAGACAGACAGACAGACAGACATACATACTACGTACGTGCGTACGTACGTACATACATACTAGAACCATCGCGCGCGCTTCGCGCGCGCTCAAGTTCTAGCTAGCTTCTTGGGGCCTCCTCGGAGCATCCTGGACTGCTTCTTAAAATCGTCATGGAACCTTCTTGGCATGCCCTCGGGGGCCTCTTAGAACGAGTTTTGAAGCCTTTTGGGTGCCGTCTTAGGGCCTCTTGGAGCCTCTTTGGGGCTTCTTGGGGGCCTCTTGGGGCCTCTTGGGGGCCTCTTGGGGCCTCTTGGAGGCCTCTTGGAGCCTCTTGGGGGCTTCCTGGGGGCATCTTGGGGCCTCTTGGGGGCATCTTGGGGCGGAGAGCTTGAGTTTTCAGTTCGCGTTCCCTCTCTTGTGCCCCTCTTGGGGCCTTCTTGGGACCCTCTTGCGCCGTCTTGGGCGGCTCTGGGGCCGTCTCGGGGCTCTCTCGGGCCGTCTTGGGGCCCTCTTGGGGGCCTCTTGGGCCGTCTTGGAGCGGTTTGGGGAGCCTCTTGGGCGGTGCTTTAGCGCCGGAAACACGAAACAGCGAGAATGCAAAAGAACATCGGAAAAACAATGCAAATCAACGATTTTGCCTCTCTCGGGGCGCTCTTCGGCGGCATCTCAAAGGCCTCTTGGGGCGTCTTGGGGGCCTCCGGGGCAATTTAAACGCATCGTGCGTCGACGGAGACCCCTGGACGTCGTCCTGGGGGTGTCTCGAGACCGCCTGGGGCCGCCGGGATTGCTGTCTGAGGGCTCCCCGGGGCGATTTTAAGCCTCCCAGAGGCGGGCCCGGGCCCCGGGCCCCACATTTGTGGTCGGGGTCCCGGCCCCCGGCCCCCAGACCCGGTCCCCCGTTATATGTATACGTACGTACATACATACATACACCATACACACATACACACACATATACATATATCTATATACATATATATATATATATATATATATATATATATATATATCTCAACTTCAACACCCGCTTCCCGGCTCTCGGACGATCGGGAAGAGGCTCTGGATAAGATGCTACCTGGGGGGAACCTTCGAGAGCTCTGTGGGGCCAGGCCAAACAACAAAAAACGGCGCTTGAAACTTGGGGCTGGCGAGCGCCCTTTTTGGACCAGAGCCGCGATCCAGGAGCAACCAACTGTCGGACTCCGGAAACCCTGAACCAACAAACGTTTTCATCTCTTGGGGGCGCATCTTTCACTTCCGCCGGCTTCCGCCAGCGGAGGCGGCCTCGTTTTACTTCCGCCGCGGAAGAGATGACAGCTCCTCCCGTCCTCGGAGGCGAGGCCCTCTTTGGAACGCCCCAGACAGACCCCTGGCGAGAGGAGCAGCCCGGGTCGCGGTGGTCGCCCGGCGCCACTCGCGGGCGGCGACGCGCGCCTCCGGAGCCGCCGCGCTGCAGCCCGCGGCGGAGCCGCCCGCGCTGGGCGAGGGGCCTCCCTGCGGGCCCTCGGCGGCAGGGGGGCTGCCTGCGGGGGGCCCTCCCCGGGCGCAGGGAGGAGGCGAGTATATCTGTGGGCGGCTCCGGAACCCTCTGAACCCAACGACGTTCTCATCTCCTGGGGGCGCATCTCTTCTTTCCGCCGCCTCCCGCCGGCCTTCACCAGCTTCCGCTGGCGGAGGCGGCCTCGCTTTACTTCCGCCGCCCTTCCGCCGCGGAGGAGATGACAGCTCCGTCGATCCTCGAAGGCAAGGCCCTCTTCGGAACACCCATGGGGGGGATTGCGCTCAGGGGTGAGGTTCGAGATTCGAGGTTCGACTTTCCCCGAAAAGGGCAGGGGCCCAGGGTTCTTTTATCATCCCTGGAGGCGTGCGCCCGACCAGATCACATGGCACAGCAAACTCTGGTCGTGGATCGTTGCACCAGCGGGAGGGCCAGGCAGCGCCCGCACTGGAAGATTTCCGAGCGCGCGCGTCGGCCCTTTCTGGGCGACGTGCCTATAGAATCAGGAAGTACTGTACGGTATGTTTGGGTGGCGCCGATTCAGCTCCTGGAGCCGCAGTTTGCGGACGCAAGGGGGGTGGTGCGAGACGGAGGGGGGGCCTTCTAAGAGGCCAGGGTGGCTTCTCAGAGGGCGAGGGTCTGCTCAGAAGCGCCTGGAGGCTTCTGAGAAGGCTTCTTGGAAGCCCACGGGACCATCTAAGAAGGCCCCTGCCTTCTGAGAAGCCACCCTGTTTCCTTAGAAGCCCCCGCCCGCTCGCGCCAGCCCCATGTGCGCGCCGCCGACGAGATTTGAGCACACCGGGCATGTCGAGAACGGCCCCCAGAGGTTAGGAAACAATTCCTGGGAAATTTCCGCAAGAACGGTTCAGGGTGATGATCGGCCCGATTGAGGGGTCATTGAGCCAGACTCGGCCAGATCAAATCCAGGATGGAACCGGATGGTACGAGAGAGGGGAAACATTACAAAGCATTTGCCCAGATTAGCCCAATGTCCGACCATGGATGTACCAGCGCCGAGCGCCGATGCTGTTTGTTACTTTCGAGGGGTTGCGTCCTAAAAGAGTGGTGATTTTGCAGAACGAACGCGACATCGTGATCTCTTTTCGCGGCGCCTGGAGGTATGGAGGAGATGGGAGTTTCCGGTCAGATTCGGGCCCCAAGGCCCTCGCAGATCGATCCGGCTCGAGAAATGCCGCAGAAGGGAATGGTCTAGGGCTTTTGCTGTGATTCCCCACGATGTTGTATTTTTTCGCGACGGCTGATCTCAAAGAAGGCGGGGGCGCACAAGGGGGTCGGCGGCCGTCTAAGAAGGCGGGTGGGATTCTTAGGAAGGCAGACGGCTTCTTGGAAGCCTGCTCAGGCGACCCCGGGCCCTTTTGAGAAGACCCCTGCCAAGAAATCTCTGGCCTTCTTCGACGGCCGTCCCCCTCGCGCCCCTTGTGCGCGCCACCAAGAGAAGGAGCTGTGGGGGGGATGGGGGGGACTGGGGTGACCCAGGATGCATCAGCGATGCTGTAACCCTCCCGTCCCAAGTGCCCTCCTCATAAATCCTTACAGGCGCTCCTTTTCATTGCTCGAGTGCCCAGCTTTGAAACATGACTGTCTTGAGGAACTCAAAGAGGTAGGACCATCCTGTTTCGAACATTATCCAGCGAGAGTCCCGTCTGAAACGGAGCCGCCACAACTTTACGCGTCGGCGTGCAACTTTGGTCCCATGCGAGAGTCCCATGTTGAAAACCAGCAGTACTCCGTCCTTGTAGCTGTAATGATACTTCACACGTCGAGCCGTACGTAGTTATTCAAGGATGTACCAAGCGATATTTCCATTTTGAAAAGGATCCGCTCTCCAACGTTGTGGTTATTGGGACTTTAAAAGACGAGCGTGAGCGGCGCTAATGCGAGAACGATATTCTGGCTTCATCCGCCCTCCATCCTTGCAACTGCTGGGTGCTCTTACAAAGAATGTGAGCGTCGCTGAAGCGAGAGCCCCGTCTCGAAGACCACCTGTCCTCCATTCACGTAACGGTTGCAAGTTTTTGAAACTAATGTGCGCGGCGCCAATAAGATAACCATATTGGACCCCCCCGCTCTCCACCCTTGTAACTGTTGGAAGCTTTCAAGCCGACTGTGCGGGGAGGGGGGGCGGCGAGAGAGAGAGAGAGAGAGAGAGGGGGGGGTGGAGGGGATGAAGAAGGACACAAAGGGGGGCAGGAGAGGGAACGGAGTAGAGAAAAGGGAGGACAAGGGACAGCGGAAGGGGGGATGGATCGGGAGAGAAGGCGGGGGATAGGGTGGGGGGACGACGAGGGGGGAGAAGGACGACGAGGGGGAGTAGCTGGATGAATGACAACTGGCAGGGGTGTGCCGAATTGGGCAGGGCAAGGCAGCGGTGTCACGGGGACCCTCGCCCCTCCCGACCCGCCGCTTCGAGTGAGTGCGCTGCCTCGTGGAGTTTCGGTGTTGCGGGTGGGAAGGGGTAGAAGGAAGAGGAGCAGGGGAGGAGGGATGAGAGAAAAATGAGGAAGGGGGAGGATCAGGGGGAGGGGGGACAAGAGGGATGAGGGGATGAGAGGAAGGAGGGATGATAGGGGGCTCCGCAAGGGAGGAGGGATGAGAGGGGAAGGAGGAAGGAGGAGCAGGGGGAGGAGGAACAGGTGGCGGAGGAAATACACCACGTACCCCGCTCGCTGGAGCCCCCGAGACGGCGCAGCAAGCTCCCGCCCTGGCCTTGCAGCTCCAAGGCCAGCTGCTCGTAGGCTCCCGCGAGCAGGCCGTCTCGCCGCGCCTCGGTCGCGGCGGGCGCCCATAGCCTCTGCTCCTCGAAAGTGCCGAGAGGTCTCGGTCCTCGATCCTCGATCGGCGTCGCCACCGCCGTCGCCGCCGCCACCGCAACCGCCGCGGCCGCCGCCACCGCGGCCGCCGCCGCCGCCGTCGTCGTCGTTGCCGTCGTCGTCGTCGTCGTCGTCGTCGTCGTCGTCGTCGTCGTCGTCGTCGTCGTCGTCATCGTCGTCCTCGTCCTCGTCCTCGTCCTCGTCGTCGTCGCTGCGTCACCGCCGCCGCGATCGTCGGTCGCCGCCGCTGTCGCGCCGAAGGCGCGAACCTCCGAGCTCGCCGCCGAGCTCGCCGCGGGGTAGCGCGAAGCGGACAGGCGGGGGCGCCCACGCGGCCGCGGCGCCGGCGCCTGGTCGCGGAGGGAGCCCCCTGGCCTTCGCCACCGCCGCTTCCGTCGCTCTCGTCGTCGTTGCCGTCATTATGGCCGCCGTCGCCGTCGCTGTCCTTTTTTCGCCGCTCTCGTGGGCCCTGGAGAGGGAGGCAAGGCTCCTTCCCTTCCAGCAGCGGATGGGGCCTGGCGGTAGCCCCGGAACGGTGGCTCCGGCATCTCCGTTGGCCCACAGTGGGCCGCTTGCCCCTCCCCTGAACTCCAGGAGCAGGATACGGCGCTACTGGGGAGGTCGCCGCGCAGCGCGCCCAGACGGCCAACCAGGGTGGGAGGCCCGGCGTAGTGGCCCTCCCCTCGCTGGAACCGCAGCCCGACCCACCGAAGATCACGGCCCGAGCAGCGAGCGAGGAAGAACATTGGTATGGAGGTGGTGGGCTTCCGGAAAGGTGTGCACCACGGGGAGCACTCTCGGGCAGGTGCTCAGTGCACATCTCTCGTGGGGCAGGTTAGCCACCATTTGCATCGGGCTCCACAAGGAGCCGAATCCATGAAACATCAGGGTCAGAAACATAAAGGGGGCGAGGACCAGGTATCTTCCGCCCGTCGGGGCGGCCCTCGTCAGCTGGGTGCCGCCCCTCCAAAAACAGCTTTCTACCCCTGGTGGCACGTTCCGAGGCGCGCTCCTTGGAAACACAATCCACCAGAAGATGTCCCGCGGCGCCCGTGGAGTAGAAACCGCAGGAAACACAAATAACGCAATGCCCCGAGGAGGCACAAAGACGGTGGCCCCTAGAGGCCTCCGCAAGCACGATCCCCGAGGCGGGAAGGACCCTGGCAGGGACCGTGTAGGCGCTCGTGCCAGGTCGGTTGTTGCGAGAGGGTTCAGCCATGCGCCTGCGCTTGGCTGGAGCGAACGCGGGGCCAAACCTCTCAGGCGCGTTGAAAGCGGCAACCGCATTATTAACCTCGGCGGCAACTGCCGCGCGAACTTGGAGTATGGGCTCGAAGGCGACACGACGGCGAGTCGACCGAACCCACGAGGAGCCCCCCGAGTCCGAGGCAGCGAGGTCCGGAGGGTCAGGACCCAGGGCCCCATCGGGGCCATGGTCCTCCACGCGAGCCCGAACCGAGCGACCCGAGCCGACGAGGGGGGAGGCAGCATGACGGCGCGCAACTCCAGGAGCAGGAGGAGGAGGAGGAGGAGGAGGAGGAGGAGGAGGAGGAGGAGAAGGAGGAGCAAGGTGACAGAAGGATTTCAATGTCTTTCGACTTTCTTGGCCTTTCTGGTGGCCCTCGTCGTCACGGCTGGATCAGCCTAGAGATCTTGGTCAGGACGCGCCCTGGGAGGTTGGCGGTCGGAAGGGCGCTGCGAGTGAGGAGGACCAGCCTTCCAAGCGTCCCTAAGGAAATCACGACGGGCGTCTGTTATCAATGTTGAGAACCATCAGAAGACGGCCCGCGGCACGAAACGGGTCCCAGGGATGGGGTCAAGGGCTCTGGAGGTCCAGGCCGTAAGCAACAACCAGTCGACGGAGGTGCGAGGCCCCCCTCCTCTGTCTCGCCGAGGGCTCCCTTCCGAGCTCGCTGGGCGTCTGAGCCCACTCTCCCGACTGCCTCTGAGGGCCCCTGGCAACGGAACTCGACTCGACAACGAGCGGCTCTGGGTCCGGGTGGGGCGTGTACCTCCCTGGGTCTCGCAGGTTCGGCAGGGAACGAGCAAAGACTGCGGAACGGGCGAGGTCTTCGTTCTTGTCGTCGTCGTCGTCGCGATGTGGTGGTGGTGGTGATCGTAGGCGTCGTCGTTGTCGTCGCCGCCGCCGCCGCCGCCGCGGCCGCGGCCGTCGTCGTCGTCGTCGTCGTCGTCGTCGTCGTCGTCGTCGTCGTCGTCGTCGTCGTCGTCGTCCTCGTCGTCGTCGTCGTCGTCGTTGACGTCGTCGTCGTCGTCGTCGTCGTCGTCGTCGTCGTCGTCGTCGTCGTCATTGTCGAGGTTTGAGTGCGTTTTGTTCCTTTCTGCGCCTCACGAGGGCGCCCTCGAGGCGCCACGGCCAGAATTTTGCCTTGAAGCTCTGGTCGGAACGGGGTCCCCGGGCCAAGGGTGTCGGCCACTGGGCCAAGGCAACCCTGGCAAGGGTGTCGGCCACTGGGCCAAGGCAACCCTGGCACGGAAAAGGCCACCGTGAAAATCAATTGCCATTGGGGGTGGCCCCCTCCCGCCTCCTGCTCCTCCTCCTCCGCGTCCTGCTCGGGCCCCCCCGTTCCTCCGCCTCTTGTGCCGTCACCTTTCCCATCCTCTACTTCTCCTTCTCCCCCTTCTGCTGAAGATGGCGCGCCTCCTCCTCGTTCTCCTTCTCCGCCTGCTCCTCCTCATTCTCCCTCCCTTGCTCCGTCTCGTCCACCTCCTTCTACGTCCTCCTCCTCCTCCTTCTCCTCCTCTTTCATCCTTCTCCACCGCTCGCCACGGCCCTGCAACTCGAGGCTCGAGATGCTGAAGACTGTGCTCTTGCCAAGCCGGCCTTGCACGCTGAAATCGAGGATCTCGGCGCCGGCGGGCTCAACGTGCGCTCCGATTGCAGTGGGGGCCGTCCGCTGTGCCACCGAGCAGTGGAATGCGGTGGCGCCCATGAGCGTCCGTCGGCACTGCTGGACGTCGCGGTCGGAGCGGGTAGGGCGCAGGGTCGCCTACACGCAAGGAGTGGCTCTGGGCAGGAGCGATCTTTGGTGCGCGGCTTTCAGGGGCCGCGGGGGGGCCAGATCCAGGCACGCAGGCCCGTGCTGGGGCCGCCCCTCTGGGCTCGCACCAGAAGGTCACTCTGGCGAAAGCTCACTCTTACGAGTAGCCGATCAGGGCTGCCGCGGCCGCCGCTCGCAAAGTGGAGGCCCGCGCTTCGATGGACCAAGTCGCGACCAAGCCACCAGTTCCCAGGCAGCCGCAGGCACTCTGGGGATGCCACCATGGCCACCGCTGTACCTCCGCGCGGTGCTGCCTGCAGCGTGACAGGTCGGTGCAGCCGCGCGACGGTTGCAAACCGAGTGCTGCGGCCAGATTGGCGCACTCGTTCTCGCGGCAGACGAGCGGGCAAGATAGGGGTGCCAGGCTTTGGAGCGCGCCAGGCGCGCAGGCCCTGCTCGCCCGAGACAGTGGGCGGTGGGCCGAGAGCGGGCCCGGCGCCGTGGCCCGGGCGCGTGCGAGCTCCACACCAGGGCCTCGGGCAGCGGGGCGGCGATGGAGCCGTTGGGGCATCTTTTATTCATAACTCTGGAGCACCGCAGGCGTGTCCTGGACGCTCGGGGGCCAGATGTTGCCGTGCCCATAATCAAGTGATGTCAACGGGGCTCTAATCTTAGATTATATTGTAGCCACCGCCGGACAACGGAAAGCGGGATGGCCTCCGCGAGGGATTGGGCGGTCGAGGTGGCGCGACATGGGCCGCGGCGAAGAGAAAGCCGCATCCCGAGCGCCCGCGGATCGCTCGTGCAGCAGTCGCCGCCGCCGCGGCCGCCGCCAGCGTCGCCGCCAGAACCGGCGCATGCGGCCCGCGCCGCCAGCACGCTGGGGATGCGTCGGCAGGCGTCGGCGGGGCTGGCGTCGGTGCCGGCGTGGGCGGCATGGGGGTCGGTGCCAGCGTGGGCGGCGCGGGGGTCGGGGGCGGCGTTGGTGGCGCTGGAGTCGGGTGCGGCGCGGGCGTCGGGGCAAAGGCGGTGCCTTAGCAGCCTGGGTCGAGGGTCGCCTTGGCATCAGCGAAGACGGCGCCCTCCGTGCCGGTGAGCGAGATGTAGCCCATCATCCCTTGGTCCTCGTGTGCAAAGATGTGACAATGGATGGCCATTTTACGGGTGAAGACATCGGTGTTCATCCGGACGGGCACGTCCACATTGGGCTCTTCCCCTAGGGTGCCGAGGAAGAGTGTGTCGTGCCAGTCTTCAGCTTGGAAGTAGCCGTCGCCGAGGGAGTCCTACCCATCCACGTCTTGAACCTGGAACGTGTTCACGTGAGAGTGCAGCGGGTGGTTGCCTACCCCAGTCACTGCTATATCTTAAAAGGTACCTGTTGTACAGCTCGTCAGTGCTTTCGAGGAAGCCATTCCCCCCGCAGATTCAATGTTCGCTCAGTTCATGCTGTTGCCAGTCCCGTCCAAGATCACAGACATAGCACAAAGGTTGAAGGCCAACGTACCCGATTGCCCGCTCGGAATTGTGGCGTGCTGGCGAGGGCTCCCGGGGCCCGAAACAAAAACAGATGCTGTCACGGTGCCAGGCGGTCTGGGAGTAGGTAGCAGGGCTCAGCCAGCGGCAGTCGGCGGGCCCAGACACGACAAGGCGAGGCTGCATGTGCCGCCGTTTGCACTCAGCGCCGCGCGCCGCGGTGGCGGCCGGCCGGAACGTGACGCCCATTGCGATCCGAGCTGGGTTAGGATGGCCGGCGGAGTCGCGTCCAGCAAACTCCCTGACGCCCTCTCGGTGCGATAGAACTCACGACAGGCGGTCCTCGCCTTGTTCGGCAGCCGGGGGCCCTCGCCCAGCCCCAGGGCCGTAAAAAATGACCCTAGCGCAGCACCCTAAGAGCAGCAGAGGAACTGTGGGACACTGTGTGGTCTCTGGGAGCCTATGGGCGCGAAGCCTCTCGGAGAAGCCTTCCAGAGAAGCCTGTCAGAGGCCTCAGAGAACTCTATCAGGGGCCTCGGAGAAGCCTATCAGAGAAGCCTCTCAGAGGCCCCAGAGAAGCCTCTGAAACGGCCCCAGAGAAGCCTCTCAGAGAAGCCTCTCAGAGGCCCCAGAGAAGCCTACCAGAGGCCTCGGAGAAGCCTAACAGAGAAGCCTCTCGGAGGCCTCAGAGAAGCCTCTCAGAGGCCTCAGAGAAGCCTGTCAGAGGCCTCAGAGAAGCCTCTCAGAGGCCTCAGAGAAGCCTCTCAGAGAAGCCTCTGGAAAGCCTCAGAGAAGCCTCTCAGAGGCTTCAGAGAAGCCTGTGGAAAAAAGGCTACACAGAAAAGGCTTCAGAGACGCCTCTGAAAAGGCTTCAATGAAGCCTCTGAAAGGCTTCAGAGAAGACTCTGGAGAAACAAAAAAGGCCTTGCTGAGGCCTCTCAGAAGCCTCGCTGAGAGCTCTGCAGAAGCTCTGCAGAAGCTCTTGGATCGGTTACAATCTGGTGTTCTTCAGAAATGTTTACATAGGGATCCTTCAGGTGGCGATCAGTCCGTTTCCAATGGTTGTAATCCGACCG